TCGATTCAAATCATTTAAACGAACTGATTCATTTAACGAGTCAGTCTAGCCCTATGATATTAAAATAATAATAATAATAATAACTTTTCCCCATGGAAGTCTGTGGTTTCCATGCAAAATTGTGCTGCTTTTAAAGTGTTGCTGCCGGTTGATTTATAAGTTTTTTTCACCCGCGGGTTTAAGGTTTGACATATTGCAAATCATATTTGATTGAAATGCTTGTATTGAACCAATAACAAAACTGTGCTACTGTGTGTTAAGTTTTGTAAAGAAGAGCCACTGGCATAGAGAGCCTTTGAGCTGCGTTTATGATAGTAGTTTTCAGTTTGCATAAGAGTGACTGTATATTAATGTATTTTAGTTATGGGAATAGCATATTTTGAGTTTTGATATTTGGGATGATCATTGGGTTATTTTTGAATGGTCATATTTGGGCTAGTTTTGTTATGCAAACCTGGCAACCCTGCGCTTCCCCACAGCGTTGATCTGCGCTCTGCCATTCATCTTACTAAGGCTCCCCTGTTAGTGCACACTGTGAGGGGGTGTTGAATGTGTGGGTTGATTTGTAGCTTGTTAATGCCCAACAGTCTTTCTGTTCTTTAATACCACAAATATTTCATTTCTGGGCGACCCAACCCAGTGTGGTGAGCTAAATTTGGGCTCTCAGTCGCACATTCTCGATCTGTGAAGCCACTGTGTGGGAGATCCTGAGCTGTTATAAAAATTAGTGCATTCCTCATTAGCAAGCCTAGACAGAATCTGCTTATGCATGTCACTTTTTCTGTGTTAGTTTTTGGGGGATAATTTGTTCCCCCAAAAAGTTTTTTTTGTCCATACAATAAAAGTCAGCTGGGCTCAAAACAACACCAGAACCCATTGACTTTGGGGGAAAAAACGCTTTGAGGCATCTTTTGTGTTATCTTTCAATCTTAAGCAGTTTAAAAATATCTTTAAGCAATTAATGGTATAGTTTAGTTCATTCTCCAGAAATGGGTCACTGGCAAAACATCTGCTTTATTACTAAGTGCAACAGTCGGCTTCCTGAAGTAAAATCAAATTTTCTCCATAGGGAAATTGATTTTTAATGATAACTTATAAACTTTTAAAGACAGACCTACTGGTTGTTAATCAATGGCATATGCTTTTATTAAAGTCATCTGTTCACATTATTAAAAAAAAAAAAAAAAACTGTATTTAATGCTGTACAGAAACGCTGTACAGAAAATTCCACCAATCAGAGAGAGTCATGGTGAGCAAATCACGCCAAAAGAGCTTGCAGTGAACGCTCACAACCCATGAATTATATCAAAATTCCTTTTTATTTGTATATATAAGCATATTTGGCAAACAACAACAACTTAAAAAAATATATTGGTTCTATAGATATAATCAACAATTTTAAATGAATTATTTTATGTTTCTCAATTGTTTTTAATTTGATTGTTATTCACAAGGCTTTGTGTGATTGCAGTTCTTTCCCTCAATAAAGGTGTTAAATACAGTGTAAATGTGTGTAATGTTGTGATTCACCTTTTAACTGGTTGGCTTGGTTCATGGCTTATAATGCATTAACAAAGATTTTTTTTTTAAATTGGAAAAAATGAATGGAAAAAAATACTTAAAAAATCAATGTCGCTGAAAGTATGTGGGCACTGATATATAGTTATAGTTATATATATAGGTTGACATAAATGTTTATATACTGTATATATGTTCGGTTTTATTTTCTCATAATTTTGAATGCTTTCAATGGAGAAAGAAGCTTTTGCACCACATACTGTAATCGTGTAGTTACAACATCTACCAGCAGGGACTAACTGGACCAAGTTTACTAGCCAAACCTTGACCCCTTGGCTCGTACACCAAGGGATTTTGACCAGTGAGTGCTTTAGTCACTTTTAAAAGTGGATGAATGGCAAGTAATACAGGATATGTTCACCAGATGTTTGTCATGAAAGCGTCTTTGTCTTGAATTTCATTTCTGTCTTAAAGCTTTTTTAAATCTGGTCTTTCAGATACATTCAATTGACTGTCCTCTTCTTTTTGTGTTCAGAAAAGAGGAATTAAAACTCTATGTTAGTAGAAAAGGAAGTTTTAAAACTGTCAGACATGAATGGTGAGCCCTCTTCTCTAATTTAAAAGGATCTGCTTTATATTTTCAAGAACTTCTTTGTGTTGTATGAAATCTGTCTTTAGTTGTGGTTGAATAGAGTGATTTAACTGAACTCCCATTAGTCACATAATCTAAAGCTGCATTCACGTCATGTTAGAATGATCGTATTTGCAAGTTGTGCGCACGAGTAATAATTACCAGCGGGAAACAGGGCTTGTCAATTGTTATGTCAAGAATTATGGCAGAAGCAGATTGTTATTGATCATAATACGTTGTACTTCTGAATGTTGATGATACAATTAAAACTTACAAAGACGTATAGTGTATGAGCTACGTGTCATCTGAAGGTTTAGATCCAGTCACTGTCCCTTCACTGGAGCTACTCCAGACAGTTTTTTTATGTCTACATACGACTCAAACGCTCTGCTTTTTCCTGAGGTAAAAGCTGTCGTCAGTTAATTAAGTTTTAACATGAAATTGCACCTCAATTGAACTATTGTGATGTCAAATGCGATAAGACTTTGCCGTTTTGGCCATATTTGATATTTACCTTAGTTCCTGTCACTTTGTTTAGGTGATAGTCACAAATAGAAAGTCTTGACTTAAATTGCATATTCATACATATACCCCCGATTTCACAGACAAGGCTTAAGCTAGTCCCAGACTAAAATGCATGTTTGAGCTGTCTCAACTGAAAATATCTTGCTCTGACTTATCTTAAAATATGTCGGTGTCATTGTTCGGTGTCAAGATGCACACCTGTAATGTTTTCTTCTAAGGCATTTTTGTAAAAGTTGCTTAAATATCTTAATTTAACTAAGGCCTAGTCCTGGCTTAAGCTAAGCCCCGTTTGTGAAACCGGGCCATAGTGTTCAAGCCTCTACTGTAAGGACATTTTGAGACTCCCACCTATAAGTAAATGCTGTTGTCAATCCCAAACACGGATAGTGTGAACGTAGCCAAGGTCATCAAAGATGACCCTGTAGAGTTATTCTAGTTAATCAAACATGCTGAGTAGAATAATGTTGCATTCCATTTAACTCATCCATTCAATTTCCCACTTGGAAAATCAGAATAAATTTGCTTTCTAAATTGCAACAGAATGCTATATGGTCAGGGAAAAGATATTGAAGTTGAAATATCCCACATCTGGCTTTGTATGGAACACGGCATACTATTCTAACTGGCTAAATAGTGTGGACCAATCAAACACAGATCAATCACAGTAGCTGAAATGACAAAATGACACTACAGGAAGTTCATATGGATCGTTTAATGATAATAGTGCTACACTGGCTTTGTATGGAACACGGCATACTATTCTAACTGGCTAAATAGTGTGGACCAATCAAACAGATCAATCACAGTAGCTGAAATGACAAAATGACACTACAGGAAGTTCATATGGATCGTTTAATGACTATGATAATAGTGCTACATTCTGGGGTCACTGAACAGGCTTATGGAATAGTCACATTTCTCTTCTGCATGTACGTATACACACATTTACATATTCTGAAACATCAGGATCTGGAAAAACTAAGCACAGGATTATGGTAGCTGCTGTGACACGGAGTCATTACAAAGGCAAAAAACAGAAGACCAAAACCCCAAAGTTTATTTACAATCTTTCTGCTGCACTTCAGTTATGTATTTATTTTTGGTGTATGCTCTGTTCAGCAAAGGTTTGCACCGTTTCTTCTTTTAAGCTCTCAATGTTTTAGGGATGGTTCATCCAAAAATATATAATTTTCATCTTCATTTACTTGCCTTTGTCTCATTCTAAACCTGCATGACTTTATTTCTCCTGAAGAATCCAAGAGGTGGTGCAAAGAAAGTGAATGGGGACAGACTCTGTCAAACTTTAAAAATGACAATGATATTCGAAGCAGTTCACATTCACATTGATTCACATTCAAATGTGTTGTGAGAACACATTCTGTCTGGTTTGCCATCAGTAATACCAAATTACATTGTTTTTTTTTGCATCTTTCATAACTCATTGATTTGCACCAAATTTTGTTATGTTTTAAAATTTGTTAGAACACCTCGATAGATTATGCTAAACATCTCCTTTGTGTTCCACAATAAAAATGAAACCATACAGGTTTGGAACATCATGAGATCGAGTAAATGGCAACAGAATGTTCGTTTTGGGATGAACTATATCCCTTTAACTTTCGAGTAGATTAATTGGACATCTTAACTGTTTCTTATAGATGTACAGAAGAAAGCTAAGGTTGCATCGCTAGGCAATTCGTAAAGGATAGGTAGGTCAAATTTCATACAGTGCATGTAAAGGAGCTCGTAATTTCAAACGTTCCTGCAATTGCACACAAAGGACAGGTTTTCAGGACACCAATTCACTCAAGTTATCCACTTAAACAGATTTTTAATCTGCATTTGGTTGACCATCCCTACCAGAGTATGTGAGCGGAGTGAGAAGTGGAGTAGCATAATTTTTTTCGACTGGAGCGAGGAGTGGATTTTTTGAAAATCGGAGCATTGTGGTTTTCACTCACTCTGGGAGCGCTCCACTACCGCTCCATCACGAGTACATTTAATGCCAACAGCCCATAATATAACTGCATTTTAGGAAGAATTCACGCATTAAACATCATTAGTTAGCTTGACAGATATCCCAGATAGCACACGTACGTCTGCAAGATGTCTGTTAAAGATCACTTCATCTTGAAAGCATCTGCTGTGTACAAACATCTGATATACATCAAGATGTCAGTTTTACATACATTCTAAATCATAAACATCTTAAAGACATCTTCTAAATGTCAGTTTGACATCTGATAGGAAACGTCCTATAGAAGTATTGCAGATGAGCAAACACTAAAAAATAAGTCTTGCAGATGTCAAATAGACGTCTCTGTGATGTATGTTTATCACTCAAATCAGAAAGAAGGTGAAGGTTATAATGACAGCGATGGACGAGTGCGGGAGGTTATATCTCAGGCATGTTTGTTTGTAGCATGATGGGCACTCAATATTGATTGGGTGAATTTACGTTTTAAACATTTTATTGTACAGGTAGTTAATCTCCGCTCTAAACTAATGTGCTGCTACATTGTTGATTATGCACACACAACACACAAGCTCGCACATAACGTACAGATCGTGAGCACATATAAACATTCAGGAGTGCAGAAAAGTATTGTCAACGCTGTCCTGTGATTTATCAGCTTAAAAACGTAAAAGTTACAACATATTCTTTCTGTTTCTGAAGTAACTACAAACATCAGCTTCGCCTGAGTAGAAAGACGCTGCACAGACAAGTGAGTTAAACAGTCATTTAATATAGACTTCGGCTAATTGTAGTGTTTCAATAAACCACAATAAATCTATTCTTCTAGTATTGTGTATTTATTATTCATTTAATATAAGGTCTGAACAGAACTTTAATATTTCAAAACATAGGCTTCTGAAGTATTTTAGCCACCAATTTCATCATGGAGCGAAGGCGGAGCGGTGTTTCTGATCAGTTGAGCGACGAGCTGGAAATGGTGAACCCAAAACGGAGCTGGAGAGGAGTGATTATTGAATGCTAGGAGCGCGGAGAAGAAATTGTTGCCGCTCCACTCTGCTCACATACTCTGATCCCTACAGGTTGGGCAACAATCACATCATCAAGCTATCATGACTGCCTGAATTTCAAACAAAAACCAAAGAACACAAGTTGCGTAAAATCCTGCAGTTCAGTTCCCAGTAGCCTGATGGAGTCTCATCCGACTAATTGTGAACTGGAGGTTAAAGTGTGCCCTCATCTAGGAATTTGTTTATCCCATCACAGATCTTCCTCAGGTTAAGTCTGTACTCTTCAGACGGGCCGTACAGCTCGGTCAGGAAATCCACATCTGCGAAATGGTTGAAAACGTGGTCGATCCGCGCGTGGGAGCGCATGGTCAAGTGCTGCTCCACCAGCTCATGGAGAAGGTCCCTACATTCCATCAGCAGCTCAGAAAGGATGCCACGGTCGAATGTGTACTCCACCTCGTAAAAGCTCACCACTGTCATGGCCGCCTGGTTCATCTTCTTTTTGAAGCGTTCGACGGTCTCCATCTCGTCAGGACTGAATTGGTGGTTTCGATAGAGAATGCCAATCTTCAGGGCGATCTTGATGACATCTTTGATGATCTTGTGGGCTTTTTTCTTGCTCTTGGTATATTCACGACTGGCCTTGTAGAGTTCGTCCAGAATCTCGCTGCTGGTATCGTCCGTGAGAAGGTTTGCCACGGCCATGGTGGCCATTTTACTTAAGATCTTCTTTTGGGCCTGAAGGGCTAAACTCTTGGAGTTGAAGCTCTCTTGCCCTATACAAACAAAGAAAAAAGTAAAGTTAACCACTCCAATAAATGTTTTCCCCTCTCACATAAGTTAGTTTGAATGGCAACAATTTTTCCGTAAATGCGCTGCAGCGTTTTGAGTAACCATGTCATGGGCAGTTTAACAGACATCGCTGTCAATATAATACCATGCTGAAAGACTTCAAATATAAAACATTCCATCTGTCTTTCAAAAATATTTTGCTTAAAGAAGTGTGGATGTTTTTCTCAACCTTTATTATTGTGGTAACCTCTATTCAGTTCTTGTTGAATTAAATATTCTAGCATTTTTTAAAGACTGATACATTCCTTTGATGTTGAATTCTGTATCTCAGTCCATCTTCACTCTTTTCATTTTAAATCTGAATGAAATGAGGAAGAAAAGTTTTTTATTAACATAGTATTGATTATTAACATAGTAGTATTGATTTTATTTTATTTTTTTTAAGTTGAGCTGATTTACTACAAAACAAGCATGAAAAAGTAGATGGAGAAATAAGAGTGCTTAGTGACATCAGAAAAAAATAATAATAATAATTTCAGGCTGAGCAAGTTTTATTGGAAATATAATCTACGTATTTATCAGGTTGTGCAGTTATAAAAGTTATTTAGAAAAGGTTTAGCATCACATTGGCCAATGCAACTGATTTTTATGTAATGGAATGACATTTACATTTTTTAAAAGGGAATTTATTGAGCCAGTGTAGGTGTGTCACCGTAACCGTATGTGTGCAAACGGATGGCAGCAAAGCTGTTGATTTACTAATGATTTATACAGTGTCTAATGGACAGTGATAATATTAGCACAAGCTGTTAGTCAGACTGGAGAGACTGTGCTGTTTGACACACTGTGGGCAGTACCCAGAGTTCCTCTGGGTGTGGGAGAGCTTTCATTGTGAGGTTTGCTGTCTCTCTGATCTGGTGTTGTAGAGGTGGAAACTGCACGTTCAATAACTCAATAATACGATTTGAGCCAAAAATAGGAGAATGAAAAGAAATGGGTTGCATTCAGGGAGAGTTTATAAATCTTATGTGGGATTTCTTGACAACTAATATGAATATGAATAGTGTTTCCTACAGAGTTTTTTCCCCCTTTCACCATGCGCAGTATATGGATTTGAATCCATATGAAATTTGATAATTTATTAAATGTATATTTTTTAACAGCAATGTATTTATACTTGAACATATTTTAATATTATATAATGAAATATAATTTATTACAAAGCAATTGTGGTTTGAACAATTTTAAGCAGGTTTAGAACAGTTCTCGCTTCACTTTGATTCAGATGTCACTGAAATTCACTATGCTTATTCAATAACCATTCTGACAGAATGTTAGTTAATTTAGTGAATGATTTTTTTCTGACTGATTCAAACCATTTTATTAAAATAACCAACTCATACAAGTCATTTGTTGGTGAATCAGACTACACTGTTCAGGTTGTGTGTTACTTTTTTGCGTGCAACCCCTAAAGACAAAAAAGACGTGTTTTATTACCATTCAGTTTCATTTTATTTTTTATACAGTTCAGAATACAAGCTAAAAAATTCTGGGATATTTCTTGCCATGGCAATATAGATCCAGCAGGGGTGAAGAGCAGTAAAGGAAACACTTGTGTACTGTTTATTACTTTCTGAGGAAGTACACACTCAAATGCCTCACAGAAATATTTTTTAAGAGCACTCATGGTAGCGTGCTGCAGAAATGTTTTCCGTCTAACCATGTTCCTCTTTTTGTACATGTTTGTGCTGTATTTTTGCATCATCACAATAGACTTTTACATATGAGTTTGAATCGACCAGAAAGTATGTTTTCGATGTATGTTATCTAAAAAAAAAACTGTTTGTGTGTTATTAGTTTAGTCAGATTGTGTTTTAGACCCCATTTTATGAGTAATAACTCCAAATATTCCCAAAGGGATCACAGGCTTATTTCAGTTAGGATGCTGCCTTAGAAAAGTAGCTGCTGATGTAGGCAATAGACAACAAGGCAGCTTGCTAGGTTTGGGAACAGAGCAATGGTAACCCTATACGTCCATCATGATGTTCAATATCTCAGAGTTTTGGGAGATGAGCGTGATGGCACAGGGAGGAGGGAAATGTTTTGCCATGTTTATCTGTAGGAGGCATGGGCAATCTGAGAGCAAATTTTATTTAGATACCTCCTAGTTCAAATGACATACTACAGACGTGATTAACAGTACAGAAAAAAAATGCAGAAAATCTGTTTCTTCCTGTACTCCTCTGCAGAGAGCTGTCATTCTCGTTTACTGCCTCACACAAATCACTGTTATATGTCAGGGGGATGGTCTGGAAAATACGTCATTTGGGAATGCCACTGAATGCCACAGAATGGCACTTGAATGCCACACAAATGCCCGACCCGGGCTCCAGTCTCTCTTACTTCATGTAAAGAGAGCCAGAGTGAAGTTGACCTCTATGCGCACACGTCCGGCTGCCAGGTGAGATGGTGTGACCTCGATCTGATCGTGGAGGCATGACCTTTAGCTAGTGTCTCTGACAGGAATGATGATGTTCACTCTGAATGACAAACTGGTTTATACAATTGCTGCTCCTGTAGCTCAGCTTGTAGTGCATGACACTAGCTGCAATGAGGTCATGGGCCTGATTCTCTAGCATACAGTGGGGCAAAAAGTATTTAGTCAGCCACCAATTGTGCAAATTTTGTTATTGACTAAATACTTATTTTCCACCATAATTTGCAAATAAATTCTTTAAAAATCCTACAATGTGATTTTCTGGATTTTTTTTTTCTTCTCATTTTGTCTCTCATAGTTGAGGTATACCTATACCTAAAATTACAGGCCTCTCATCTTTTTAAGTGGGAGAACTTGCACAATTGGTGGCTGACTAAATACTTTTTTTCCCCACTGTACTTCTAAAGAGTTTTTATTTTTTATTTTTTTACTGAAATATACTTTTAAGTTTACAATTAAATGAAAATGTATTATTGTTTAATTTTAAATAAAATAATTTAAATGCTCATTTTAAATGTATTAATTTTATATTAAATACAATTTGTTGAAATTTTGCGTGTTTTCTTACCCACTTAGGTCAAACTTAAGTACTTCTCTATAGATAATTTCATAATAGCTTATACTGCCTTTGAAATATAGTTAAAGTGTACTGTTGAATGCATTGACAAGTATTTATTGTAAACTAAAATATACTTTAATGTCATTTCTATTGAAACTTGTATGTCATGTATTTGTGTATGTTTGTAATGACACATTTATTACAATTTAGTAAATTTAAAATATAATCTTTAAATGGAATATCATGATCAAGTATTTGACATGTGCTTTAGTATGTTAGTTAACACATCAAAAGAAATATACTTCTTTAAAGAAGAGCAAACGATTATTAAAACAATGATTTAACATGTACTGTAAGGTAAAACTTTTAGTTTGACATTATTACAAACTGCACATTTTAAAAGTGTATTAAAGTGTATGAAATCACAGTCCGATGGCACCTATATCGGACCAAAAGGTCACTTTAGAGTCGTCGATTAAAGGGGCAGGGTCTCGAGTAGGAAATACTGCTGCTGCACATATAACATATACTGTATGAAATTACCCCATATAAAACATACATAAAATTACCCTGTAGCAGATCTATACAGGTGGAGCTGGGGAGTTGGAAGGTGGAGGGCAAGTATTTGAATGTTCAGCAGCAAGCTCATTGGCTGCTGATGCGAAAAGAAACCAATCAGCTGTGCCATGTTAATGATGATGTAATTATATCAGATTGAGTTATAATCTATGGATCTGCGAGTTTCATGACAGACTAAACACAGACTATAAAAAGCAGTGCTGTTTTGTGAATATATATATATGTAATGTATATATATATTGTCATATATTTTATGTTCCTGTGGCTCAGTGGTAGAGCATTGTGTTAGCAGTGCAAAAGGTTGTAGGTTCGATTCCCAGGGAACACACATACTGGTAAAAATCTATAGCCTGAATGCACTGTAAGTCGCTTTGGATAAAAGTGTCTGCTAAATGCATAAATTATTATTAATAATTATTATGTTGCTGTGCTGGCATTTGTGTTTCCAGTGAAGAGATCTTGGTTGGCATCACTTAAAGGGTTTATATTATAAAAAAAGGATGTTCCTTAAGAAATAAATGATGCACTAGATCAACATACTGGTCAATACATTGTCCTAAACAGGTGTGACACAATACATTTTCAGCAACAAGTAATTTATCTTTTTTGTGGCATCAACAAACACCAGACCAACCTGACACTGACCCACTACAGGCATTTCTGCTCTTTCTGCTCTCTGGGCCATAAAGTTATCAGGGGCTTTAGAGGGTCATGCAGGTAAAAACAGAAGAAAAAAAAATGCTATCTGAAAGTGTGCAAGAGGAGTTCACTAATAATGAATTTCAGTCAGTCACTGAGAGTGTTTATGTGCATGAACTGTCTGTGTTGGTTTAACATAGATTCACTGAAGCAATTATGCAAAACAGGTAAATATTTTCCAAAATAAATGTACACTGAAGATAGTTAGCACGTCGCAGTTCTCCTTTTCACAGGCCGATTCTCACTGCTAAATTGCAGAGGATGCTGTCGACTATCAAGATATGGCATATGACAGTATTCTCCATTATCTGATGAAAAACAGCCCTTGAATTATTGATCACATTATAATGTACACAAAACTGTTCACCATTTGCTTTCCATTGACAATGTTTATTGAAAATAAATGCCTTTACGATGTGATACGAGATTTGAAAAGGGAGGAAAAAAAAGTACGGCAAAAGCCATTGACACGCACTTATCCATCTGCACCACTGGAGCTGATGTGTCACAGCAACTTTTAACTAAATGTAAATATACACCCCGTATTTTTATTCCATAGTAAGAGCAATTCATACAATACATTTAAACTGAGCTACTTTAATACCATTTCCGAACTTTCTACTACGACTCTGCTGTTCTTTGGCTGGTTC